CTGGACAAACACTTAACCTCCCTGGGTCTCAGTTCCCTCTTCTTCAAGTGGGCTTTGATGACCCGTAAGGTCCCTTCCAGCTCTAAATCTGTTATCCTATTGACTTTAAGTAAGATGTGTGCTGTCCATATAAAATATTGGGACTGCTTGGATTGTCCAAAGTGGCTCATGAGAGACACTCATTGATTGACATTTCTGCAATCTTACCCATCCCCTCCAAAGAAGACTGCAAAGAGTTGGACAGTTCTTTTCTCCAATCTCTGAGAGACATAGTGGACCAGAACTGAATCAGTCTTTCTTCAAAAATATTGCTACCAGTACAATAGACCCAAAACAAAAGTCACTTCCCTAGTTGTTGCTGTTGTTCAGTCATGTCCAATTTTCTTGACCCCCTGAACCATGGCAAGCTGGGCCCCTCTATCCTCCACTGTCTCTCAAAGTCTGACCAATATTATGTTCATTGTTTCCATGACAACATCTGTCCATCTCATCCTCCGCTGTCCCCTTTTTTCTTTTGCCTTCTTTTGTCTTCTCCAGCACTGCAATTCAAAAGTATCAACTCTGCAGCACTCAACTTTCCTTGTAGTCCAACTCTTTTACCTAGTTACTAGCCCTTAGTGGAGGAGAGTAGCCCAAACCAACACCCTTTGGCTTGGCTCCTTCCCATCAAACGCTGATTACATAAAAAAAAAAAACAATCAAAAATAGTAACGAGCAAGCAAATCCATTTATCCAAGCAAAGCAGCAAACAGAAATTGGCAATGTGATGCAGATTAGAATATAGCATAAAAAGACACGAGACAGTGAGCTTTTCTGATGGAAGTGAGATCACATCTCAGCTCAAACTGAAAGACTCCAACCTCATCCAAGGGGAAATTCTCTTTCTGAAATGTTTAGGAGGCAAACTGGAAATCAGGGAAATCTTGAGGAGCTAGCTTCTCCTACATGTTTCCAGTTTCCAAAGTCTTTCAATCTCTCTCAATCTCTCTCTCCCTCTCCCTCTCCCTCTTTCTCTCCCTCTCTATTTCTCCCTCTCTCCCCATCAGTCCTGAGAATAGCTGCAGTTATACAGATCTCTTTCTTAAAGAATGTCTCCTTCCAAAAAGTTTTCATACCAACTCTCAAGAGGGCACACAGCCTTATATCATCATTCTCCCCACCAATTAGCAATCTCCTTCTACATATGCAATAGATGCAAACACCCCAGGCTTGTCCAGAAACTCAGATTATATTCATTTCATAAACTGCTAGGAGGCAGTTTAGTACAGCAGAAATAGCATTAGATTTGGAATTAGAGGTTTTTTTGGATTAAATCCTGCTGTGCCACTCCTTACCTCTGTGACCCAGGACGAGTCATTTAACCTTCTCTAGGCTTCCATTTCTTCATTGGACTAAGCATAACCCCTGAGGTCCCTTCCTAGCTTTACCTCTGTGATCCTGATGTTAAAAATCAGTTAAATTTTACGAACACTATTCAAGGGTATAAGAAGAGGAAAAAAGAGACCAGTAGAAACAAAGTTCTTTCTTTTCTGCACTAACTTCTGAGAGGATGCTGCTCAACAGATTCAGTTAACCTCCCCTTCTAGCTTCTTCTGGCCTTCTTCCCCTATTATGGTGCCCTTTCCTCTAAAACAATAGGTGAGTAAGGGAGCATTCAAGGAAAACCATCCCTGGGGCTGGTTGAACTGGCAGATTTTCACCCATAGTAACTCTTGAAGGCTTACCTACTAAGGCGAAGAGGAGCTGCTGTTCATGACAATAAAGTACTCATGCCAATAATATCACAAGTCTCTTAAGTTTGAAGTAGTGGATGTGGTAACTACCTAGAACAGTGCCTTGTACTTGGTAAATATTTGAGGAATCATAAATGTGAAAATGGCATGTTGAACACAAGGGAATGGGCCATTTCTTGAACTCGGATACTTTGTACCTGGATTCAAGATAGCTGTAATTCCCCTAAAACATCATTTATTTCAGAACTAGTGAGTGAATAAAATACCACGGTCCTTGTCATTGTTGAGTTGTTTCAGTCATGTCCAACTCTTCATGACCTCATTTGGGGTTTTCTTAGCAAAGATACTGGAGTGGTTTGCCATTTCCCTCTCCAGTTCATTTTACAGATGAGGAAACTCAGGCAAATGAGTCCGGTGACTTGTCCAGGCTCAAATATCTAGTAAGTGTCTGAGACCAGATTTGAACCCAGGAAGGGGAGTCTTCCTGACTTCCAGGCTTGGCACTCTATCCACTGCACCATCTAGCTGCCCCAGTGTACCAATAATAACTTTAATTCTATAAGAAGATTTAGGAATTAATATATATATTTGAAAATATTTCAGACTTGGGTATTACATACAGAGTAAACAAGTTGACATTTTGAAGGCTATTCATTTTATCATGTTCCCTAAAATAAAATTGTTGAATTGAGCTAATTGAAAAAAAAATAGAAGTTCTCCCATTAGCTTGAGATAACATGTTGAAAATGAGACAAGGTAATGGTATTGTTAGAGCAACGAGTTCATCTATTATACTCAACACTGGTCAGACTCCAGCTGGAGCACTTGCTTAGCTCTGGGCTCTACAACTTGATGGAGCCATGAAGAATGACACTAACATCAAAGGAGAGTCACAAAGATGATTAAAGGGTTCCAAGGGTGTGGCCCTTTAGGTCCTCAAGTGCAGCTCTTTGACTGAATCTGAACTTCACAACAAATCCCCTTAATAAAAGGATTATAAAGGATACACACACATAAAGGATACACATATAAAGGATGATAAAAGGACTCAGCCAAAAGGCCACACCCAAGGACCTAGAGTAGAGGGCCACATGTGGCCCTGAGGCTATAGGTTTCCCACCCCTGGGTTAGACTATAAGAGCTATATGGAAGGGCTAGTGGAATTTAGGCTATTTTATCTAGAGAAGGCATATTTTATAAAGGAAGGTAACCACCTGTTTTCCATCCACTGATGACAGAATGAAGGAAAATGGACTAAAAGTGAAATCTGAGGGATTTGGGTTACCTGGAAGGGAGGAAGGAGGGACGTTTATATAGTCCTTTACATTTATATAGTGCCTACGATGTGCCAGGCACTGTGCTAAGCACTTTTTACAGATAGATACCCAAGCAAGGGCAGAATGAAAGAAGTGTGTTTTAGTGTGTTTGAGTGACAATCATAATTTATAAAGCAGCTTAAGATTTCAAACCTTGGGGAACTCATGCCAGAGGAGGGATCTGAACCTTATTTATTCATTAGATCCCAAAACTTTATCTGGTGCATCATTCTGCATCTTACGGTACCAGAGGTTGGACTACCTTTTCTTTTTCTTTTTAAATCTTATCATTAGTTTAAACATCGTATTTGCTAAATTATCTTGAACCTCTGGAAACCATTTTCCATGGATTAGTATAGAGAAACCAAAATGGCACCCACTAAGTTAATGAAGCAGCACCACCTCTTCAGGCTTGTAGATGTCTGTGATGATGGCTTCTTTTTGTGACATTCTTGATTTTTAAATGCTTTTTTAAATTTATTTTTAAATGTCAGAATGTCACCAAATATCTGAATACTTGGAATAACATAAAACATCCAGATGTTGAGTGATTTTTTTTTTTGCCATTTTCATCTGGATCATGAGATATAGAACCCAATCACATGACCATCCCATAACAGCCATTAGGAAAAAAAGGATTTGGAAAGCTAGTTAGAAATTGGCACTGATCCCGTAAGTGGAATAAAATCAAGGTTAACTGTAGTTTAAGAAAAATTTTTTTCTAAATTCACTAGGAGCATTGTTTTCTCCTGATGATAGATGTGTTAGATATTTTTGTTTCCTTTGTTCCCCATTCCGACCTTAGGTACTTCTCAGAAAATCAGTTTACTGGGCTGGGGGGAGGGGTTAGGGGAGGGCATTCTACAGAATAAAATTGCCAGACAAGGGTTTTCTTTGAGACCTTGGTTTTCATAACTTAAAGGGTACTATACTCCCCTCCAGCATTTTCAATTTTACCATTTAAAAATTATTATTTTTTGTTGTTGTTTAGTTATTTCAATCACAACTGACCCTTTCATGACCCCATTTGGGGTTTTCTTAGCAAAGATAGTGGAGTGATTTGCCATTTCTTTCTCCAGCTCATTTTACAGTTGAGGAAACTCTTGAATGACTTGCCCATGGTCACACAGCCAGTAAGTATCTGAGGCTAGATTTGAACTCAGGAAGTTGAGTCTTCCTGACTCCAGGACAGTACTCTATCCACTATGCTACCTAGCTACCCCTTATTATTTATCACATTAATTAATAAAATACAATTAGATGGTGACTAAGTCAACTGAACAAATTGTACTCTGTCCTCTAATTAAGATCAGAATGAATGCTGATTCAAAAGTGACACTAAATGACATGTTTCTTTTTGTGCCTCATCCTCCTAACTCCTTTTTTGATGCAGATAGTAGGATCCCATAATTCTTAGAAACTAAATTTTAGTATTAGCACCTTATTATTATAAAAAAATTTATGTTTTTCCTTTAAAATGTTCCCATCTTTATTATTTAGCAGCTGGGTTGGTGGCTTTTCATAATAAGGACAAAATTATATTGTTGAGGGTATTTTCCTACTTGGGCTCTTTGCCCATCAAAAATTATTATGTTTCATAAACAGAATATGAATTTTAGAGGTCAAAGTCATATTAGTTTGTGTGACTTAGGCATGTATATCCGCAGCTATGATAAGAAAGTGTACCCAAAGTAACATTATGTATGGAAAAATACAATCCATGCATATAAATGATATTGCAAAGTTTGCATTTTGGATCTGCTAGAAATGAATGAGTCAGACTTGGCTTCCATGGTAAGTTTTATTTTTATATTAGATATATTGTAATAGAAAATAATCTGCTTAAAGGCTAAACTTGTAAATATTTGCTTAATCTGGTTCATTAATTAAACATGTGAAAATGCTTAACTAGGATAAAACTAGGGACTTGGTATCCATTTTGTTTTTTCAGAATGAAAGTGCCCTTGTGAAAGAAAAAGAGCTGTCAATCGAACTTGCAAACATCAGGGATGAAGTTGGTAAGTAGGGCATTGAAAATAAGTAGTGTAAAGAATGTCCATTCCTGAATGCATATGAATGTGTAGCCAAAACAATTATGCCTTGTGTAATCAGCTACTAGGAAAAAAAATACTGCCTAGACAAAATAAAATCTGTTTCAGAGCGCAGTAGTGGATTTCAGTGGCCTTGCAGGGAACCATAATTTTTACCTCCCCGAAATTACAGCAGCAGGTTCTTAACAGTACACATAGGAGCTAATCAAGCATTTACAATGCTCCTCACAGATGGTGATAGATATCAGTCAGTATGGTCTATGGTAGGCAGCCATCTATCCATCTAGGCCCAAACTGAGCCCAGGGCTCAGGTCATGCATCATTTGAAAAGAAACAAGACATCTCAAGAGCTGTATGGTGAATAATAATGTATGTTCTCTCTAGGATGCATGTAAATCCATGACCTCATTGTGTATCCTTTCATAAAATAATCATACTGTGAAGGAAAGTAAGGTCAAAAAAATAAATTTAGTTGGATTAAAATATGAAGCTTATTAAAATTCATGATCCCTTACTAATGAAATGGTATAGGAATGGTTTAGGTCTCTGAACCACAGGAAGCCTACCTTTTTTTGGAGGGGAGGGGTCCTTAAGAGCTATGATTTCCTCCATACAGGTAACTCCATGTGGGGGAACTCCTTCTACCAGTGCAGATTGGAAACCAATTTGCAATTTAGTGTCTTAAGAGTTGTTTGGAGAACGAATAAATTAATTGATTTGCTCAGGGTCCACACAGCCAGTGTGTATAAGAGATCAAACTTGTCCAGATTTTCCTGATTCTGATGAAGCTGGCTTTCTATCCCCTCCTGCTTTCCCCTCAGTACTTAGGAATAATTACTTCATAGAAGTAGTACATCTTAAAATAGTTTGTCTTCAGGCACTGGCAATATGGAAAGGAAAGGAACTTACAGCAGTCAACACTAGGATGTGGCTTTTAACCATCTAATATAGACCCCAATATACCTTAACATTGATTTTTTTTTCATTATACACATGGGGTAACTGAAGCCCTGAGATGTAAATTGGCTTATGAGGGTCCTAATAGGACCTAATAGTAGCTAATAGGTGGATACAGTGAATTCTTGATAACTGACAAGATGGCTACCTAATTGGTGAATTGTCCACAGTGAATTTTAAAATCTGCATCTGTTTCCCCTCTACCCTTCAATATTCTTCTGGACCATCTTTCTCTATATAGAGAGAACTTTTTTTAGGGAGTATTTAGTACTAGGAATGGTCAACAGTATTAGAAATGAAAGAGATCAAGGAAGATGGAGATTAAAAAAATGGCCATTGAAGCTGGGGATTGGGAGGGTAATAGTGATCATAGAGAAAGCATTTTCAGTAGAAGAGTGGAGTTAGCTGCCAGGTTATGAGTTGAAGCCTAGGGGTTATAAGTCTGGGCCTGGTGGCAAGTCAAAGCTAAAGGAGGGCAACAAAATGTTCTAGGCCCTTGAGTTCATGTCATGAGGGTTGGTTGAAGGAATTGGCCATGTTTAAGCTGGAGAAGACTCAGTGAGGTCATGACAGAACTGTCCAAAAGGGGAATGGGATGCCTTAAGAAGAGGTGATGGGTCTTGAAGTAGAGGCTGAATGACTGCTTATTGGATATGTTAAGAGTAGGGATTCCTCTGGTGTATATGTTGGACTTGATAGTATGGAAGTACCATCCAACACTCAGATTTTTTTTCTATAATCCTGGGTAGAGGAGACCATGAGTAGTGAGAAAGTGAAAAGATCTTGTAGAGATGTTTTTAAAGTTTGGCAGTGAAATGGAGGAAAAACATTAGACTGGCATAGAAGAGAAGAGACGGGAGGTCAGGAAAGGAGAGGGGGGAAAGGAAATTTGGAACAGAAACTATGAAGAGTGGAGGGTGCAGGAGCAGAGGAGCATAAGATCAAGTAGAATGATTACTGAATAGCAGTGAGGACCGAACCAAGGTTATAAAACATGAATTTGTAGAAGGTCAGCTCATTTTTGTGATTTTTCTTCATTGATGTTCAAAATTCTAAGGAGAGAGGAGAATAATTAGAAAGTGAGGGTTAAGTTGGGATGGTGATTTGCAGGTTAGTCATAATAAAAGGTCATAGAAGGGAAGGAGAGGGGAGGAAGGGATTCTAGGATAGCCATTAATGAACATTAATGCTATTCCATGGGGTCAAGTCTGGACCTGGAGGCAAGTCAAGCCAAAACGCGGGAGATGGATTAGGGGAATAGGGATATGGTAAGGAACCGGAAGTCACCAACAGCTGGAGAATACACCCATCGTTGGCGAAAGAGTGAGAAGGGTGGAAGGATAAGAGGTTTTGGTTAGAAAGTAGAATTTCAAAATTCCAGATCTTAGAGGTGACATAATTTTTAAGATATAGTAATGTCTAATGTGTAACCATGTTGGTGTGTGGCTGAAGCAGGAGTGGAGAAGGGAATTGAGGAAGTCAAAGAACTGAGAAGTTCAGTTTTTAGAGGAGTGATCATTGTGAACATTGAAGTCCCTCAGAATAATACAGGGGACAGCGATATAAACCAGGTACTAGATTCACTGAGAAAATTGAAATGACCTAAAGATGCGTGGATAACAGTAACAATGATGGCGAGAGGGTGGTATCCATAGGTTGTATGAACTTCAAAAGACGAAAAGTAATTGAGAGAAAGTGGTGGAAACTAGTGGAACTAGAAATCTCTCTCTCCCTCCTAGCCTTACCCTACGAGTTGGGAGGGAATGGGAAAAGATGTGACCTCTGTTGGAAAGGATTGGGGAAAGCCTGGCTTTTGTAAATATGAGGCAGGATAAGGAATGTTGGTTGTGTCTCCTGGGATAGCAGTACTCCCATGGGGAACACATGTGCTTAGGGTGTGATGGAACTAAGATTTCTAGGGCCCTGTGGCTGGCGAGTACCTCTATTTATGGTTCATTTAAAATTGATTTCTAAGTATAGTTTTTCTTCCTTTACTAAAAGGAGAAAGTCTTTTTCTTCTTCAATGGGATCTGTCACTTCTTTTGTCATTGAAAAAGGTCATTAGCCGTCTTTTCTCTCCAGAGGTGGCTCAAATCCTGGAAGAAACAATAATTCTCACCCTCCATTTACAGCAATCCTTGGTACTTACCTTTCACAAATTATCATCCACCACATTTCCAGCCTCAGTGTCAGAAACTCCCCTCAGAATACTTCACCAACAGGGAGGCCGGTGTCCTATCACTAACAGAATCTTGGCACTGTCACTAGTGGGGGGTCCTTAGCAGCCCCCTCAATAGTGAGGTCTGCCCTACGTAGAAACTCTGACCAACCAAGTACCATATTGTCAGAGATTTAGAGCTGGAAGTGTCCTCAGAGGTCATCACATCCATTTCATAGACGAAACAACTGAAGCGAACAGAAGTGAAAGGACCTGGGCAAGGTCACACAGATAGAAAGTAGAAGAGTTAAGATTTTAATGTAGGTCCTCTGATTCCAAATCCAGCCCTCTTTCCACTATATTATCCTCATTTTACAGATAAGACACAGGAAAGTGAAATGATTTGCCTAAAGTCAGTACAGATTTATAGCATGAAAAATCCAACCCAGGATTTCTGACTCTAAATGCAATTTTCTTTCCAATGTACCCTATTCTATCTCCCAATCCCTCTTCCCATACTCACACTAATAGTGACTATGCCCTAGTCTGTCACTAATGGAGAACCCTCTCAAATGATAGGAATTATTTATCATCCCTTCATTAAGGGACTTTGAGAGGTTTCCCTCCAGTTTCACTTAAAAAAAGGCCACAGACTATATGAGCCCTCAGTTCACAGGGTTTACAGTGGGGAAGAACCAGAGGTCATCTAGCCCAAATTCTGTATTTTACAAATAAGAAAATGAGGCCAAAAAGCCACATGTAATAAGTATCAGAGGTGAGCTGACGCAGGCCCTCTTCGCTTCACCCCAGGACTGTTGCACCAGTCTTCTGGTTGATCTCTCTGCCTGAAGTCTCTCCTCACCCCAGTCCATCGTTCTACTCAGTGGTCAAATTGTTCTTCCTAAAGTGCAGGTTTGACCAGTTGTCTGTCTGTCTCTGTCTCCCTCTCTCCTCTCCCTCTCCTCTCCTCTCCTCTCCTCTCTTCTCTTCTCCTCTTTCCTCTCCTCTCCTCTTTCCTCTCCTCTCCTCTCCTCTTCTCTCTCTTCTCTTCTCTTCTCTTCTCTCTCTCTCCTTTTTCTTTCCTCTTCCTCTCCTCTCTCTTTCCCTCCCTCTCCCTCTCCTCTCTCTTTCTCTCTCTCTATCTGTCTCACACACACATATACACACACACTCTATCTCTCTCCTCCTCTCTCTCTCCTCTTCTCTGTCTCTCTCGCTCTGTCTCTCTCTCTCCTTTCTCTTTCCCTCCTGCTCCCTCTCCTCTCTTTCTCTCCCTCTCTCTCCTTTCTCTTCTCTCTTTCTCTCTCTGTCTCTGTCTCTGTCTCTTTGTCTCTCTGTCTATCTGTTTATCTCTCTCTCTCACACACACACACACACACACACACACACACACACACACACACACAC